TAGCAGAATCAATATTTTCGATAAACATAACGCCACATGAAAAATAATATTTAAACACTTAAAAAGGCATTACGCGAATGTATAAGTGCATTTGCAGCTATATTGACCCGACATATTCAAAGCGCAATTATTAAAATGTGTTATTCTGTGGGTAGGATTTCGAAGGGATATTTACATGATGAAACATTTATGGATTCCGGCGAGATTCAATATTATTTTATCAGAAATGTTTCATGAATGTCGTTTGAGCAACGTTTGCGCACTTGCTGGTGAGGCAATGTTTGCGCATTAAAATGAATCATTTTCGCAAATGTACATACCACCCGCGCATTTTGCTTCTCCTTGCTTCTCGCGTGTAAAATAATAGAAGTTCGCGTTTCAAAGAGAGAAAGCAAACCAACTGATGAAGAGAACCAAATAATTAACTGCATCGTTCAGATGTAAACGGATTCACTAATTAATCATTTAATTTGAACGATTAGTGAGACGCAGCGTGTGCACGATGAAAAGTGAAGCATCATCTGAGTGAGTTGCGAAATTTGCTTCGCGTATTAGTTTAACGAGCTCTTTACCTTGGGACGACAAAGAACGGAGCAGGAAGAGTTTTCACGCGCTACATCATTTGCGATAAATTTACATCCATGAATATTTTAACTGAAATATTTGACTCAAGAACCATGAATATTTAAATGTTTTTTTTTCCATATAAAACAAAAATTAAATAAAACAAAAAATGCTTTATAACTTTGATAATATTTGAGTTTCAACGCTTTATTATTTAAATCCTTCTGACGAGCTTTTCAAAAATACATTGTACAATGCATTTTTCTAGCAAAAATATTATTTTGCAAGAAGAAGTGAGTTTTACTTATTGAATAATGCACGATAGATTTACGTTCTTTACCTTCATTTTTAATACAACAACAATGATACTGACATTTATTTGACAAATTATTGATAGCCATACATACATAATAAAAACAAAATCTACATTTTGTAATTTATTAGTTGAAGATAATGAGAAATTAAAAAAATTGAATAAATCGAAAATAGTTGAAGGTATAATTAAAATACCAAGGATATATATATAAAAGCTTTACATTTATCGTACAATTGTTCTAATCAAAGAAATTATCTACAAAGTTAAATGTATGTAATGTAATATAATGTAATGTAGATATATTTTATATCATAATAATTTCTATTTTATAAACAGATCCATAGGTATGAAGATAAGAATATCGTATCTGCTGTACTTATTTGGTTTAGTTAAGCTGCGATACGATAGCTTCACATATGGTATCAAGAAATGGCTGCTAACGTTTCCGATGGGGATGATGGGAGACGTGCGTTTATAGTTCTCGAGAACACATTACGTCGACGAATGACACCTGTCTCTTTATGACCTCGTTGCTCATCGATCAGCCATCGATGTTGAGTTCTACAGCGATAACCAATGGCAATGCTGGGCAGCGAAACGTGCCTAAGAATGACATTGCAGGATGGTTATCTGGAGTACTCGGAACGGCTTGAATATTCATTATTCGCGTTTCTTTCGTTCGATGCTCATCGATCACCCGGTGTCGCAAACGAAGCAACATAAATGATCGAGAGAGAAGGTGGCCGGCGGTAACGAGAGAATGCCGTGGTCCATACCTCCTTGCATATGTCTCGAACAATATGTATGTGCAACAATGGCCATTAATTATGAAGAGAAACGTGGTGCAGCGCAATAATCGTATCGTGTCCGTTTCATAAATGCGTTAAACAGTTTTAAAGTCTGAACTATCGTCTTATACAGTTCCAACAAAAATTAATCTGCATTATTAACGCATTTGAAATGCATTAATATCATTCGATTTTTTATATTTTTCTATAAAAGTTTACGTCGTTTGTATGTCGTCGACAAAATAAATCCTGATGAATATCAAAATTGCGAGGTGACGCATTGCATGCTAATATCACATCACCTCCAAATTTTTCCGATGACTTTAAATCGATAGATCGCATTTTAAGCGTTATGATTGTCGTACCAATGGATTTAAATCGATGACACGATTCGGCGCATCGCATCAGCCGCATCGTTGAGAAATCCTCCGCGCGAGGTGCACGCGAGTTTGACCGCGTGTGCATGATGATACGGAGAGAAAGAAAGAGAAAGAGAGAAGGAGAGAGAGAGAGGTGCACGCACACTGTTATCCTTGGACAGGTTTACAAGATTTTTTAGCCTGAGGCACGCATCTGGGCAACCCGATCGCACGACTCGCAAGATAGACGAACATCGAATTATTGCATTCAGACTAAATAGTAACTAAATATTCTACATGTGTATTTGCACATACGTGCTTGCGAATATAAATCCATTTAATACGATAGAATATATAATTTCACAATGTAGAAATATTATGTGTATTAAAAGGATCTCGTTTACGAACTAATCGGAAAGATAATGTGAGATAATAAATATCAGAGCTAATAATAATAATTATTATTATTTAATAATTATAATATATTTTTTATATAAATATCAGTCTTACGAATGATATTATACTATACAGTTTAGAATTGAAAAGAGTGTAATCGTTATTGTATCGTAAATATATGGAACTGGATCGCCCAATATTTATTCTACTTACTTTCATTTAACATATATACCAAAGTATATATGTGTATGTAATTACGACAATAAACAGTTCGTGACAAAAGACGAAGAGAGGCAAAATACGCGTGATGAAATCACTGTGCAATAATATTGACTGATACAGACACCGGCTTGTTCTTTCCCCGGTGTTTATATTGCCACGAGCGCTTTTTGCTACGCCTGGCGTGAACGCCCGCAAGGCTTTCTGACGGGCAATCATCGATTCACGCTGGGAAGCGGAATGATCTCGTGGCTGTCAGGAGGTGATAAAAGTTACGCGGTATGGTGATTTCCCCTTAATGATCGCTTCGAGAAACCGAAGACGGGATTGTAAGGTGAGAATGAAAATATCTGATGCTGCTTGTTCCAGGAAAATGCCATTGCACATCTATCTTTCACTGATCAATTTCGTTCATTATTATAGGACAACTGCTATATTATAAAATATTAGCGCATAAGTGTACAAATTGAATAACAACAATTTTTTTAATATAAACTTGTATATTTTTCTTCCAATAAATAATTTTAATTACTGCAAATAATATATATTATAAAAAAGTAGTTTATTAGTCTTTGTAAATAAGTGAAATTGATGCCCTCATAATATCATAATAAAAATTTATTATTAATTAGTTACTTTTTTTATAGAAATTGATTTGAATATTTATATTAATGTAAATGGTTAATGTGATAAATTTTATCAGAATAATCATCTTTACCGACAATTATACATAATCACTAAAAAAATACTAACTTGCATTATCTTTACCAATTGGATACTGGAGATTATTTATAATTACCAATGAATGTGATAAATAAAGTAATAATCAAAATTTAATAAATTTACCAAAATTTAATAAAATGAAATTTATTAAAAATTATTGGTAATTATATATATAATTGCCAGTAATTATGCATAATTGTTAAATTAATTAAATTTGTGGTAACATATATAAATAGGTATTAATTAAATCTTGAAAATTATAAAAATTTTGAATTTCTTTGTTAAACTTTAATAATACATTGTATTTATTGTAGTTAGCTAAAACAAAACTTTTTTAATTACAAAGACTGTTTCAGAGATTTTTAAAGTTACATATTTTTAAAGGTACATATATATACCTGCGCAGAAAATTTTGCAAAAGTCAAGTTTTACGATCGTGTTGGATCAATCAGATTAATTAACCCTTTAGGGTTTCAAGCTCGGATTACAGAGAACTTGAAACCCTAAACCATTTATCTGAATACTTTTAATCCACGTGTCCACACATGTGTTGAGAGCCGATGCATGCGCGCAAAGAAATCCGCCGCCGTGCACTGACAATCCCCAATAATTGTACGCGACAGAGGAACGCGGTACGTGCGAGATAATTAATTGGTCGATTAATTAAACGGCTCGCGGCTCGTCTTTGAACGACGACGCGTCCGCGCCGGCCTTATTCCGTCGACCATCGCGCTCGATCGTACATCATCGCGCGGATGCGGTGCGTCGCTCATTGCTCGTAAATATAGTAATTCAGCGACACACGTTAGCGGCACCCGTATATTTACGCGTCGCGGTTCATTCACTTCCATTTACATGCCTCCCGTGACGCGACGAGTAATCGCGCCTGGATGTACTCCGCGAGCTTGAATTATTCGACCCTCGCGGATATGCGAGTATCACATCATCTATTTCTATGGATGAATCTTGCCTCCGCATATCAGTGTTTTCGTTAATCTTTTGATAAAAGGACTAGCAAATTAACATTCTTGATTGAAGCAATCTATATCGCCTTGATTAAAATTGAATTAAAGCACGTTTGTCATAAATACATAAAGATATTTTTTATATTATTATTTTACTTACTTCTTTAATTAACTTATAAAATATAAATGCAAATTGTCTACAGAAACATTTGATTCTTTCGTGTAAAGAGTATCTCTTGTCTGCTCAATCTGTATCGATTTAATTTTAGTATATAAATACTTTTTTTATGTCTCATATGTATATTTTCATATATTTAGATAATTTTCTCTACTTGCTTTACAAACTCTTTTTTATTTACAATAGAAGTTCTCTGTCTGCAATGACGCATGACCTTTATTTCTCACAAAAAATGCGACTTAAACAATATCTAAATCTAAAATTCTTGTGATGAACTTATTCTACGTAATGCCTAACATTCTATCATATTTTAAATTCAGTCTGACCGAATTAGACTAATAGAGTCTAACTTCGAATGAAACTATTTGAGACTTGAACGTCGGAGGAGGTTCTGAATTCCGTGTTCATTAACATAAAGATTGATTATCTTATACCACATTTCCATAAATTTTCAATCATGTATTCCAAGTCGGAAGTTTATCTCATACTCACCCCGAATGATGTTTGGCGTACGTAGGGACGGTTGTAGTAATCGGCTGAAAGCCTTGCGCGCCCATCTCTCTTGGCTGATGCTGACGATGATTGCTATGATAACCCGCGTACGCTATCGCCCTGGTACCACCGTTCTCCACCATCGCCACGGCACCATTGAACTTTTGTTCCAGCATCCGTTGCTCCAGATGCCCCGATGCCGAATTTATCTGTTGCGGTGATCTCGTCGTGGAAACCTGTGGCTGTGGCGTCCATGGGCTTCTCGCGGTAGTAGTTGTCTCTCGGACGACGAGTTTGTCATCAAGGCGATCGTGCCTAGCGTGGGGCAGTCTGTCGCGATACCAAAGTGGCCAAACAATTCTGTGGCTGCGCGAGGGTATCCCATGATGATCCTCCAACGACGGTAGAACCGAGCTCGTTGTGGCCGCGATAAGCAAGCTCGCCAGCAGTATCTTCAGGGTCATCGTTCGGCTTTTGAAAAACTTATAACGACTGCGCGATGTCCTGTATAATACCAACAACTGTACGAGCCGTCACATCCTCAACGGCCGCGGTGGACGCGTCAAGTTCGCGACAGGCTCGACGGATATCCGGATGTGAGATCCTCCACGGGCAGCTGAGAGGCACTACTGAGAGCACTACCGAACCAGACGTACGAAGCAGGGCCCACGTGCTTCAGCTGCACCAACCCCACCATGAATCTCTTTTTCTCCGTCTCGTTCCTTCTCCCTGTGTTTCCCTCTTTTTCCCGTTGCCACATTTACTCACCGCATTCGCTTGTGGCCCGGTCTGCCCGGATTCTCTTTTCTCCCTTTCTCCTTTCCATTCTCATGCTGTAGCGGCTGTCTGTTCTCCTGGTACCCCACCAAGTCCTTCGGTAACCACCTACGTATCCTTCCGCGACGGCCTGTGCACGGAGAGAGCCGCGTTCCTCTCGTAGTTGCTATCTTTACGAGCGATAACACTATTCTGAACAAAGCTCTCGCGCCGGCTGCGAAGATATCGCGATTCAAAAACGGATATGGATCGTATATGACTCACATGCGGCTTGCAAATTCCACTATTGCCGGAACAAAGTCTGCGATGATTAACGGGGATGAGGTAAACGCATGAATGCTATGGTCTTTTAGTTGCACGACACATTCTTTGAAAAAGACGGAAAGATATCGGTTATATCGTTCCACGATACTTAACAATCTTGTACTATTTAAAAATCAGTAATTATAAAATTCTACAATCTTTAAGACGCCATATTTCCCAATTTGAGACATTGTGTTTAACGTTAATAAGTAAAGTTTTTATTTAATAAAACTACAAAGGAGAACCACAACAGAAAAATATTATGAAAGAATTAAAGCGCAAAATCAGAAAATAGGCTAATAAATGAAAATAAAACGTTTATCAAAATAAAATATGAAATACATAACAGTATGAGCAAAAATACTTTTTAGATTAGTATCATATTTAATGATGTAGCTAGAACAACAACATTCAACATATGAGTAGCTTGGAAATAATTAAATGCAATGCGATATACAATAATTAGTCATAACCAGAAACCACAATATCGTTGATATAATGATCAATGCGCTATGCATAATCTATGTTGCCAGCCTTTGTATCACCTATGACCTATGTTATATGGCCTCATTAATATGAAAGAAAGTAAACCGCAAAACCATAAAATAGAATAAAAGACTAAATATTAACAAACTAATATCTGCATAGAGACAACATAATAAATATTAATATATGTAGATATAAGAAGATATCCTTTAAGAAAAACATATTTGCGTTTCTATCTTTTCAATCATCAATAATAAAATAGCTTTTACAATTTTTACAATTATTAAATTCTTCATTTTTATAAAATTCTGATTAAAAAATTATTAATTTAAAATTATACATAGAAATAGAGTATTAGAATCTCAAATGAACAACGACGTTGTTTTCTAACAATCATCAGCTGTATATTGAAGAATAGAAGATTACGCGAAGATTATGTTGAAACGCTCGGTTCTTTTAAAGCAAAACCAGCAGCGTCGGACGAATTGCACCAGAACAGCGGTCGATTTTGCAATGCTGTGAAGCTGGAAGTTACGCGCATTAGAAGTCCCTCTGTGCCATTCTCGAATCACTTCAAGTAACACCACGATGTTACTTGAGACCAAGGTCAGTAGTGCAGTGGCTGGAAATGCAAGGTCTTTGTTACCTTTTTGCTCGTTACTTACCGAGGACGAACCGAAAGGATTGGAATAATTGCACGGATCATCGTCACGTTATTGCCCATTAGGAGAGCATGAAGCACAAAGCTTAAAAGCACATCGCGACCGGCAAGAGATAAATCAATGTAGCAGAATAACATACCGTGACGTTCGTTCTCGCAAACACGATATACCCTTCCTACCACTCATGATTTCTCGAATAACTTTATCATATAACTATGATGAAATAAAAGCGAAAACTGTCTAAACAAGAAAACATATTTCAGAATAAAAACGTAAATTTTAGAAGAAAGCGAGAAAAGAATTTGATAATTGAATCAGTATTATAAATTGCGATTATGTATTCTTTGAATTTTTTGTGTTTTGTTATACTTTCTATTTAAGAGTCATGAATGTAGAGTATGTACTGATTTAAATGCGAAGGACACGATAAAGCCAAAGTAATGTTTCATTCAGACAGTGCCGGTGAACTCGAATGAAATGTTTATGATTAATGCTGCCGACACTGCCGACACTGCCGACACTGTAGGAATGTTAATCGAGCTCACGGCGATCGCAAAAGTATCTTTCTTTTCATGCGTATACGTTGTTCTTTTCTCGGTGCGTACGATAAGCCTCGTTATCGAGATATCGTAGACGTTCTCTCATTAATTATCGTTCACCCGCTTTATTTTGCCGATAATTTGTCGGCAGTCCAACCGGTTCGTCCTCACAATCAATTGCAGGCTCATCAAAATGCGCGCAAGTAATCACGATGTTGGTAAACGATTAGTTATTTCCATAATTTGCTTTAGGCTGCACTCCCAAGTTACGACTGAATCTCCACATGATCGTTATCTAAAAATTAGTTGGAATTTTATCATAAATACTAATTTTATGAATTAATTTTTAAAATTTACTTAATTGAGATTTTTTATTGTAAAAGATCTCCAAGAGATCAGCATCGTTGAAATTTATTATTCCAGCTTTCTGTTGTTTTCGTCTTTGAGATTGGATTATTAGGTATGTTTATAAGAAAAGCACTCTGCTGAAATGAATAAGCGCGCGCGCGCGCGCATCTCAGCAATATCTTTCATAAAGTACAGAAAATTTCACTCTGTAGAGAGAAATAATATTATTGTAAATTGCTAAAATCACAACAACGTCATAAATCTTGTCTTGAGAGAAAACTTCAAAACATACCCGGGAATTAACCATATGATAGTAAGTTGATGTGATAATATAATAATAAGTCGAAGCTTATGTGATAATATTGATATGAAAGTTGATATGAAAGACAATAAACTGATTGATTATATGACAATAGAGATTTAATCATGTAACAATAAATTATTACTCGTGCTTGTGTGCTGTTGTGTTATGGAAGATTAATGAGAAACTGTATATACAATATATTCCCATTTCAGTCTAATAAATTTTGCAATGGCAAGAATATGAGCTTAGAACAATCGTTATAAAATTGCAATAAAATAAAAAAACTCAAATAACTTTCTTTTATTTCTTTCTGTCTTGATAAAAAAATCAAAATTAATAGTTTGTTTTCTATAGTTGTTATCTATGTGGAATTGGTTTGTGGAATTAATTTTCTATAAATCTCTTTCTATCATATTTATAATGTTCTGCAATTAATTTACGTTACCAGTTATATCGATGCAATCTTCGAATGCAAATTGTACAAGGAATAATTTCGCGAATCATAATCTTTATATCTCGAGGCATGTATATATCAATAATAGATGATCGATTAGTAACAAAGCGCAGTTTCCGTCGCGAAAGCAAACTATCGAAGGAATTAATCAAACACCACTTATATTGAACGTGAAATGTAATAAATTGCTTTATTTTCACATATAAATAAATATAATTAGTATTCAATATACATCACATTGATATTTTATTTATCTTAGTGCTCAAAGATATTTGCAATTTATTGCATTCTATGCGCTCCATAATTGTGAACGGAAGAGTAAAGTACAGATTAATTATAATTAACTATGTTTTGAGGTGCACGAATACTGCTCAATACGGCATATTTCAATATTGTTCGCTATTTGTCAAGGCGATATCAATCATTTTCCTGATATATGATACTGACACAATGTGATGTTTCAATATGCAGTTTCTAATACTTTTTAATTTCTGTACACCCGATACATGACGCAAACACGAACACATACATCAGACTCAGGTCACGTATCCAGGTTTTGACCTACTGACACGATCCAGTGACGTCACGGGAGACGGGAGAGCAGAAGGACGACAAAAGGGTGGCAAGGCTGGAGTAGGTGGAGCTTCAATTTGACGAAGGAAATTTCCTCGGTACGCTCAAGTAATAGGGATAATGCAAAGACAAAGGATGTAAATGTTCACTGCAAAGTATGTAGGACAAGAAAATTTTTATGTCAACATTTTTACTTAATATACTTAAATAATTTAATTCAATTGTAAAATAAACCGTAAATCCTTTAGTGCCATTTTTTATTTCTTTAATGCTACTTTTAAGTAATATAATCTATCTTCAATTTTTTAAATTTGTATACCTTACTTGTACCTTAAAATCCATATTTACATATTTAACGCAGAAAAAAACTTTTGAGAAATGAAAGAAATATAGAATTGAAGAAACTGATATTAATCCATGTGGTTTGTAAATGTTATTAATTACTTAATAAAAGCTACTTTGGATGCGTTCCACTTAACGCTCGCAACACTCGTGGAATTATTTCATCCTTGTTGTTTATCAAATGTTAAACAAGGACAAAAACGCACTCTTTATAATTTGTAAAAGAAAAGAGTAGTTTTAATTAAAAAAAAAAACATAAAGTATTTATTTTTTGTAATCTAAATTTTTCGTACAATATCTACAGTATTTTTTTTTATCGTTTAGTGCGATTGATTAAATTATTCTGAAAAGAGAAATTATATATCATTATCGGATTTCTGTATTTAGAAGGTTTGTATGCAAAAATAGGATATGTGGTTTATATCACATTGTTGATATAAGTCATTACGCATTAATAATTGTGAAAAGCTTAATCCTCAAACGAAATTTCGCTATATTTCACTCGTGTCACGATCGACTAATCGCCACGCTTGTTAGCTAACGTCAGACAATCGTCCAAGAGCGGCGCCATCCTTTGTCTAAATTCTCGCGCTCTTCCGCTTCGCTTCATATGTTATTTTACAACATTTTGTAGCCTGTTTACTTGTGTTTTTGATAGAATTTTTCCGCGTAAGCAAAATCACCGAATTCGCCGCGATCTCTTCCCCAAGGAAACCGACGGAAAGCTCAAAACCGAAAGATGTGATAGATCATCGTGACGGAAAGTCTCCATCATTCAAGAGCCGTCGGGGTCGGATCGGTGACAGCTTCCTGG